GGATGATCTTTTGTTGCACAGAATCAACCCACATTGATCCCTGAGGGGAATCTGAATTAATGGTGACACATGGAATGAGTACAGAAAGTTTTCAGCCCTTATTTTCCTCCGGATTTAACTCTGTTATTGCTTCTAGCTGAGGGAACAGACAGATCTTTGCATTCAAATTAATAACACCTCCAGAATTTCACAGGTACATTATGAAAACGTCTAAAAAGATTATGTCAGGGGAGAAATAATGTCGTTACACGCCAAAAAGTCTACAGGGAAGACCAAGGCTCAATGCTGTTTCGCAATTTTACTTTTACCCCGCCCCCCCATTTTCCATTTTCACCTGGAGTGGTGAAACCCCTCATGAAATAGGACAACGATCCAAGATCCAGTCACACCATCATTTGTCGATAAATGCATCACATCTGAAGGAAACTGTAGCCTATAGTGTGCTGATTCCCCCGGCAGGTTCTCATCAAAGGGGTGGAGCTGACAATTTAGACATACAATTTAGACAATCCCACTTAAAAAAAACGAAATATCCATTTAGCTGCCAAAACGATCGCACTTGTTATAGAGAGGGAAGACCAGACCACACAAAAATAAAGGTGTCGTTGGAATTTTCAATGCTGAAAGATAACCAATGAAGAAACAAGGAAGTGTACGCTTACAAATATTGCATAATAAATCATGCATTTATGCATCTAATATGAGCTTTCTTGTTTTAAGAACGTTATGAACAGTGAACATACCAGTTTAAACACAACTAAAAGTTAATAAAAGACACGTAACAGTAAAAGTTTTGGTGTGAATCACAATATAAGGGGGGACATGAGCTGCTTGGCGGAGGTCTGCGCTCTCTGAGTGCTTTTCTAGTTAACAGTGAGGTGGGTGAGCACCTGTTTTGTTTTTTGTTAACATGCTGACTGAACATTTTAGGATGAACCCCATCCTCACACCTGTGGTAAATAGTCTCACAATGAGTAAACAGGTTTTGTTTGTGATGCAGCGCCTCCGTAACTCCTTCCTGAAGGTTAATGTGATCACACCTCCTCCTCCACACAGCTGAAGTCCTGAAAAACACACGTTTACTCAGACTTCTGTTCTCAGACATCGCTGTAGTCAAACATGAAATTTTTATTTGTTTTTTCATAAAAATTCTCAAATATTTCAGTTTTAATAGTTGTTTTTGCCTTTTAATTTAATGTAGAGTTTGAATAATGGGCAAAACATGAGAAAGTTAAGCAGATGCTGAGCTTTCCATTCAAAAAAATAACTTAAAGGTGAAGTAGGCAGAATCTGAGGAAGTGCCAGTTTTTGGGGAGGAATCTTGAATATCAACACTACCCCTCCAGACCAGTTTTCCCCAGAGCTCCTCCTCTCCCCTTCGTCTCCTCTCCAGCAAGCCCCTCCCACAAACAGACACTCTTGCTCACCCATATCATTCCAATTAAATTCAGATATAATGCAGATAAGTACTTCACATAACAAATATTATAAAACAGCTGTGAAACCTTTTGTTAGAATTTTTAAGGGTTTTTCTTCCATATATTCACCCGCCTATCTTTAGCATAGTCAAAATCATCTTTATTTTGCACAAATGAGGAAAGTGACTGCAGTTACCTTTGCATATTAAACATAAATATTATACTAACACGCATAAAGCTGCATGAAACATTATTCCAAGATACAGCTATCAACTTTGTATTCGGTTTTACAGTATTAACGTTCATATCATTGTGGAGGTGCATGCAGATGAGATGATATTTGCATAACAGGATTGTGTCACTTCTGTCGCGTTGACATTGAGATGCATCGCTTTGAGTCTGCAGAAACATCTTTATTTTTATGACATGCGGGGAAATGAAATGATTGATGAATCAAATATCAACACTGAATAACAGATATTCCTCCAAACACGGACAGGTTCAGTTTGATCCCACAGTGCATAAAACAAAGTGAAAGCAGACACCCCGTCTAATAAAACCAAAATAAAAATTACATTTTCTGTCTCGTCCCTCGGCGGCTGTCAGGTCCTCTTCGGTATTCTGTCAGTAACGACCTCGTCTTGTCCTCTGGCTCTGATTTCCTTCTTGTTTATGAAAAATTAAAGCATGACTGCAGAAATGTGCTCACCTCAAAGCTTCTCATAATATCCAGGTCTCCTGGAACACTGAGAAAAAAAGCTGTTTTTCAAAGTCACATTGATTTGAAATTTGTTTTTCGCTCTCAGGTTTCCCATTTCCTTTCAATTACAGGAAATTGGATGCTTTCCTCTGCTGCAGCCTCTCATGCTATAAGCTTGTTTTCTGCAGAGGTCTTGTGGTTTTAACAGAATTTCTGAAGCACCTGCCCTCACACACCTTTGAAATGTGCAGGACAAGTGCCCAGAAGAGTCTTTATCCCTGCATTGACAAAGAGATGAACACTAACAAGCTCCAAATCCCTCCATCAGTCAGAGCATCTTCTTCTTCTTCAAATTTACCTCACGGGTCCAGCTCTTCTTCAGCTCTTGACGTCGATCTTCAGGTGGACAAAAGCTCCTTCTTATTCCTTCATAATCCTGAGGGAGGTCCTTAAAGCCATCAGTCACAAATCCAATCTTCTCTCAAATACCCCTACAGAAGTTCATTTTCCAGGACTTATGAGGAAGTCGAATGAAATCCCAGGTTTGTGCTGCTAATCATAAAATGGTTTTTGCACTGAGACACTTTCTTCAATGATTTGCCTTTGTTATCAGTTTCTATCGTGTACCTTCTTTCAACGTGGCGCCATCGTTTCTACTGAACAGAACTGGGCTTCTGGTTCAAGTTCTGTATCAACAATTGTGTACCCTGCTCTGCTCCTCTGCTGTGTGGAGTTCTTCAGGGTTCAGTCCTGGGACCTCTCCTGTTCTCCCTTTGCATGCCTTCTCTGTTGCTCTGGCAATTCCTTGACTTTTATTATAATGTTACGCTGATGACAGTGGTGGACTGGACCGTTGGAATCTCCACTGAACAGGCAACTGAACTTGTAGGCAGGCCAGGCCAACAGAAAAAGGGTTTAATTAATTTATGTACGTTGCCGTGGCAACACGTAGCTGGTGCGACCTGAAGTAGAGCTGTGAGGTGATCGGCTGCAGATGCACTGATCGAGCATCGTTGTTCGCTCCACTCCTGAGCTGATCGTGCTTCTTTCTCCTCCTCCTCCCGAGGCAACGTCTGTAAGTGTTTTTCATGCAGTCGCTTTTTCTTCATTTCCTGAAACCAGCGCTGCGTAGTAGCAATGCGCTCATTCGGCCGCGCAGTCGCCGAGAGTCGCTGTGATGACACTCGGCTCAAACAGCGTATCCCCCCACTGTGAGCTACGCAATCCCTGAATGCCAATAGGCTGTATCAGGTGTCAATCATAGAAAACATGAACCCTCTAATAATTTTTGTAAAAACGGAGCTTCACAGAAAAAAGAGGACTTGAGCACAAACCAGTCTTACTGTCACTACATGTCAACATCACAACAAAAATGTATGTTCTGTGTCATAAATTTCCAAAGTTTGTCCACAGCTCCATAAGCTTTGCTGGCAGAGGCAGGATTTCTGACCTATACTGCAGCCCATCAACAGAGGGTGCTGTTCTCGGAGTAGCTTCACCCAGCGAGGAGGGAGACTCTGTCCATTCTATATACAGTCTATGGTTCACACTGAGTGAGTATTAATAATTTAGAAACTCGATCACTCACTATATTCTATGGATGCACCAAAAAATTGGCTGCCCAAAATGGCTCAAAGGGGCATTTTTGGTTTTCGGCCGAAACACTTTTCTCACCAAAATAACCCTTCTGTAACATACTGTATGTTGTGATGACGCAAACAAAAACTGCGACTAGAATGCACTTGTCTGGATAAGAGCCAACATGTCTGCTGTGTAGACGTATTTCAATGTACCTGAGAACTGTGGATAGCGATTAGCATAGCATGTAATGCTGAAATAGGGGTGCATCTGCAAAGAGTTTCTTCATGTCGGGTTTACTGTCCTGAATACAGGATGAGGGTGGCACAATGTTCAGTTTCAGCCAAGAATTTTCAGGTGCATCCCTATGTTCTATTATATACACACCGCGTTAGGCTATAGAGTGTCATTTTGGTTGGTGGTGTGCCCCAGGATTTTGTTAATGTAAAAAATGTGCCATGGTTCAAAAAAGGTTGAAAAACACTTCTTTAGACAGCGGTTTGAAGGACATCCTTGAAACAATTGTGTAAATGAAGAGGAAGCATGCAGGGATAGAGTGGAGAGGTGAAAATGTAAAATCAGAATAATAAATCGCAAATTGTTTCCAACATCAGCTGATAAGTTACTTGGCCAGTGCACACCTTAGTTCTCTATACTTCATGTCATGAAAACCACGATCGCTAAAAGGAATTTCAGGGCAGCAGAGCTTGAAATGCAATTTTATTTCCTCAAAAGCAAAAGTCTGGAAAGTCTGATTTTCTACTTGAACTCATGTTTGACTGACTGTTTTTCACACACTGTTACACGGAGCATGAAATTTCTCTTTGGCACAATTACTGCCTGTCTTTTGCGCTTCATAACAGCACAATTATGACTTTTTCTGAATCACGTAGACCCAATTTACCTAAAAAATAATTAGTCAAAGTTCTGACTGCACAGGTCTTAGTATCTGAATAACAGTGTTTAAATATAGGTGTCTGTCTGTGTGAGTTCAGCTGAGATGTTTTCTCTAAGGATGTGAGCTGTTTCAGGTATAATTGCATGCTAACTGTCTTCTCTCAAAGATAAAAACACACAAATAAAGCGATCAGATTCTGCTTTTCTTTGCTCTTTTGGAGTATCTGTTTGTTTTCACCTCTTTAGCATATTTCCTCCCCTCCTTCTGTTGCGTCTTTATCTTTCCCTGCTCAGCCACAACTCTCAGCGAGGAGCCATTTAGCACATCAAATACTGCTGCTTTCCAGATAAAAGTTACTCCATCAAGGCGTGTTTTCAGTCTGAGGCTCTCTGCAATATCATGACATTTACTGCCCGGGTTCCTGAGCGGCGCCGGGCAGATAAGCGGGCAGAGACGTGGCGGCTGAGCGGGTCTTTATCCGTGGCCGGGAGCTGTGAAGGACTGAGCCGAGCTGCTGCATTGTGGAGCTGTGCTGAATCACCCAGGAGATATCTGAACCTCAAACAGCCGGGGGGGAAATTGCTCTCTGAAGCTGCAAGAAAAATGCTCGATTTCAAGAGTGATGGTTGGAAAAGCCAATATGCAATTGATTTTTTTCTTCTTCTTTCCTCCTCTTCCTCCGTGAGATGACAGAAATGGAGTTTCAGGTTGGATGTGTGACTGAAACTCTCTTTCTCACACACATGCACACTCACTCAGGGGGAAATACGGTGCCGCTGAGGGCTCATGTGACACAAAATGTTCTGCTGCCAAACCCACAGACGGTGTTTCTATCGTCTGAGGACGAGGAGCAGAGGAAACAGTGTTGCTGGGTGATCCTGCAAGGTGAACACGGCGTGCTGGAGAAGCTCCAATCAGATCAGAGGTGGAGCTGACTGTGGGCTGCAGGATCAAGCAGTTGGAGAGCATTTTAATACGACTGAGGTGTTTCTGCCCAGAAAAGTTGGGATGCTACACATGACAGATTCTGATGGTTGCAAATCATTTAAAAGCTGAATTTTACTAAAAATAAGCAAAAGGCAATCTGTACAATGGTGAAAATGCATGCACATTTTAAATTTAAGAGCAGCAGCACATTTTGAATCTGACATACCATTGGTCGAGGGAGCAGTCTAAAAACTGTGTTTTGCTGTAAAAAGATCTGCAGAAGGACCGATTGAGGACACTTTTATAGGGCCTTCTGAAGCAACTCAAAGAGGTTCATCTTAAGAGCATTTTTCAGTGTGTTCAAAGTAAAGTTGTATGAGTTGCATGTTACTAGTGAGTGTTTTAGCTCCAGCAGTTCCTCCTTTAATCAGAAACTGCCTGAAGAACTTGCACGCAAGCTAGGCTACAGTTTTCAGGACGTCTACGCAAGCTAACTCAGAGAGTCTCTGACTGAAGCACTCATCTCAGTTTAAGCAAACACTCAGCCCAGGAATTTTCCAGCACTCTCTTTATCTACTACGTGCTCCTCAGCATGCAGTCCAATCATCAAGGATGTTATAAGTCATGGATAAATAGTAAATAATGATAGTGATGGGTATGATTCATCACCTCAGACTCAGCATACTTGCCTTTTTTTCAGTGAGTGAAAAAAAATCTTCACTGATCAATATCCCCTTTTTTTTCTACAGTAAGTGTTTTCTGTGAAAAGAAAAGTAACCACAATAGACTCAGGGTTCAAGGACTCTGCCTGACTATATATATTTTTTTCAGGTTATGAAAAACTGCATCTTAAAAAACATGGACTAACTGTGCAAAGAATATGACTGTATTTAACACAAAACCAATAGACGTGTTTCTCTACAACGTCATTGTAGGTATGCACACACAGCCTTGGGGCAGAAAGTGGGACATTTCTTATTTGTTTACTAGCGGAGTCAATGGAGAAAGAAAATGACAAGGAGCTGTTGTGCTGTAAACTGCAACAATCGGCAAACACTACAACATCTAAAACAACGTCACAACCTTGTAAATTGAGTGAAATTCATGGATGTTTCAACAAGTGTTTTTCTGATTTTGATGCAATGAAAGACTACGATGGAGCATTCTCATAAGTAATGATTTTATTACAACTTTGTTCTCGTATATCCGTGAATTTCAATCAATTTACCAGGTTGTGACTTTGTTTTAGATGTTTCTAATATCAGGAGCAGGGTTGTAATGTTTTCCGATTGCTTCTTTTGCCAATTCGTGCAGTTTACAGCACAACAGCTCCTTGTCATTTTCTTTCTCCATTGACCCCGCTAGTAAACAAAAAAGAAATGTCCCACTGTCTGCCCAAAGGCTGCGCATGCATACCTGCGATGATGTTGCACAGACACACGTCTATAAAGATAATATGAATTCTTCTGTTGTATCATTTTTTTTGCAGAAAAATATTGCTAAGGTTCACAACGTGTTAAAACTTGATAAAAAAAATTCTTAATAATCATATAAACACACTCAACCATCAACAAAAGCATCTAATTTGACAGATGTAGATGACTGAATTAAACTAAAAAGCCTGTCAGTAAGTAGCAGCCTGTTAGATCAGCAATCGCACTGTCATACAGTCTCCCTGAAAGCCGCAGCTGAAGTCTTTCTGCACAACAAGCTTTTGAAATTTCAACATGTTTCACTTTCCTGGGAGGAAACTTTGTTAAAAAGGCTGGATGTGTCTCAAATCCATCCTAAATAGACCCCGCAAAAAAGTGGTATGAAGAGTCCAACCCTCATTCAGCTCAATGTATGAGCTTCATCAGGATGAGAGTGCACAGCACAGCTCTGTGCAACAAAGAGAGGAAATGCTAACAGCTTATATCCAAGCAAACTGCACAGAGCTGCATAACTTTGTGGGCATGATTGTGATTTATAAGTTGGATCTTCAGACTGAGCAGAAAGGGTTTCATTTTCTTTCTTGATCCTGAATCTTTTTTGTTTAAATCTTGTGTTAGTGTTTGGGGTTTGTTGTGTTCTGTTACATCACTTCAGCCCTGAATCATTGCTCATCAACCAAACTGAAAATAAATGAAGGTTGATTATTTGCATTAACTTCATCCTAAAAAATGATGGTTTTTATTTGTTTGTTTCCTCAGCTTTACCTTGGCTAACCTTGAGCTGAAAACATGCAACAGCAGCTCCCTAAACCTTTACAGAGTCCTCCCACTCAGCTCTAAACTCACCTCATCTCTCACAATTACACGGCTGGTTTAAAGCATCGATGTGAGGGTGCGCTGTGGAAGAAAGAGGACACTTTTCTGAGTGTAAAAGCTTAATCAAGTCTGTTTGAGTGTGCAGCATCGACAAAAGAGCGAGAAAACAACATCAAATCAACACAAAGGAGGCAGTCCTGACTCTGTAAGTGTTCAGTTAGCAGACAGATCGGTTTGTTTTTATTCAAAGACTGAATTATTCCCTCCAGGAACTAGAAATTTTTCTTTTAGTGCGACTATTTCTGAGACAAACTGCCTTTTGTGCATCCATTATTTATTCGCAAAGTGTCAAATATCATAGATTCTCTTGAACGCACTCAGATTCATGCTTTTCTTTACTGCCTTCGCTCTTTTTACAGTTTAAATCACCAATTTAAAATGATCATGTTCACTTTCATTTGCCATTACTGAGAAAATACAGACTACAGCGAGTGAAAATCAGCTCTAAAGTAATCAAAAATAAGGAATAAAAGCTGCAAACTTTTCCACGAGTTGAAAACAGATGCGCTTTAAGGAGAAAAAAAGTCCAAAAGAGACTTCACTTTCTGCCAAAATTGAACTCTTGTAGCATGAAATGATCTTTTCTTCTCAGTTATGTGTATCCGTGTTTTAAGGTGTGTTTCTTGGACCGCAGCCTTGTTTTACCCCCCGAGCTCCGATCAATACGCAGACTGAGGAGTCAGGGTGTTGAAAGCCTGCGGGGTGACCGGTGTGAGTGAGGAAGTGAACCGGAGTAACTCCTCTGTGGTGAGCACTTTCTGCTTCAGAGGAGGTGAAATCAAAATGAAAAGCAGGAATCTCTCTGAGGACCAACACCTCCACCATGGCAGAAGAGTCCGTTTTTATTTACCCTCATAGATGCTGAGAAAACTTCAGGTCCGTCTGCATCAAAATGCACCATGTTCCTGTCTATACATACTGGAGATAAGAGGCAGACATGCATGTAAACAGACTCACAAAGAAATGGTTGTCTAAGTAGGTTTGTCCTGCAAGAAGTTGAAGCACAGGAGCTACAGAGGTCAGTGAAATTAAAAACTGCAGTTCCCCTACTGACCACTAGAGGCTCTAAAAGCAAAGAAGCAATTCACCCAATCCCTTTACTTTCTTATGCATCAGATGCCATGCATTTTTAGGACACTCGATGACAGCTCATATTTGAAATGTTTGTCTGGACATGTACGGAGGAAGATGTTTGTTAATCATGTTGCATTTTGAAATGATTAAAAAAACTGAGATTGTGCATAAATGAAATCAAGAGTGTTGAATGCAGCCTGCAAGCACAAGGCAACATGTTTCATGATGGACCAATGAGCAATAAATGAATATGAATTAAAGTTAAGTAGCATCAGTAGGGGAGACTGGGGCTTGTTGTCACACTTTTTACACTCTTATATCTTAAAATCAATGCATCGTATATAAACAAAATGTGTATTAGATGAAAGACCAAAGTCTCAGGTATATATTTCATGTTCATGTCATTTTCATATCCTGTGTCAGTTCAGAGTTATAAACAATCAAATAGAGAGTGTGAACATGTGACATGTTGCCTCACCATTGGGTAAGTTGTCACACCATATGGGGTAAGATGAAAATCAGGCACAGGAAACATTTATCATTGAGCAAGAAAAAGTCATTGAACAAACGTTAACATAAAACGCATCAGGCTCTGGAGTTTGGAGAGCTGTCTGACTATGTGTTTTGGCTGGGGTGAACGTTTTACAGTAACAAGCCAAAGTATTGTAGTTGACATTAAAGTCCTTTATTGTAGTCCAGACTGATTTATTATCTAGGGTCACCTGCCTGACTGCCGTCACCATCACGTCATGTACTGCACTGCCATGTTCTGTTTTTCTTTTGTAATTCCTGACCATGTCTTCTCGCTTTCTTCTTTCTTTTTTCTGCAAAAATACTGTCAAAATTTTAATGACAACTTTTATTTTTATGACAACTGCTGACAAGCAGACTCTCCATGTTAATTTTAATCCCTTTTAAACATGTGACAACTAACCCCCCAATTGACTGAGACATGTTGCCCCAAACTACTATGTCTGCTCTAGATTAAAGTTAGCTTGAAACAGAACAATGACTGAGGTATGACAGGATGCCTTAATCTCTCCTTTAACAAGTCCACATGTATCACTGCTCGGATTTTTATCTGAAAGAAGCTTATTTTAAAATATATAAAGTTAATTTTTTTTACTTTGGGTTGTGCAAAATGGTTGATTGGCGCTCATCTCTTGATGGCTCTTCTCTTCTCAGACAGGACACGACCCCTGACCATGTGAAGAAAGAAAACTTGTATTCCACTTTTTAGTTGAGCCCTCTGGTGGCAAAGATAATTGCAATGTGACAACTTACCCATGTGACAACAAGCCCCAGTATCCCCTATTAAAGTAAGGGTCTTTCTAAAGGACAAATAAAAGAATATCTTATCTTATCCTCGTAGCTGGATTCAGAGGAGAAAGACTTCAGCCGAACAGTCGTGAATAAATCAGCTCTTCTATGATGACGATACAAAGCAGCAAAATTTCAGGACTTATTTCTGATTCTTCTTCACTTTCACAGCTGGTCCTAAATTTGTTCTGGCAACTTCTCCCAGAGTCCCAGCTCCTCTCCTCTCCTCTCTCCTCTCCTCCTTTTTCCTCTCCTCTCCCTTCCTCTCCTCGGTGAGCTTCAGGCTGTTGCTGAAAACAACTTCAGCTTAGTTTGCCAGGAGGACTGACATGTTTTTCC